CCGCTGCTGTGGAGCCACCAGTGATGTACTGAGAATTACATTTGGGTGTGAGGCCCAGAGAGGATTCATAACTGAGTCAGAGCCATGCAGTGGTCAGTGGTAAACCTGACATTCAGAAGCAGGTTTCTGAGTCCCAAGCCCTCTCCTCTGGGGTGTGTGAGGTGCTCTTTTGTAGGCTTTAGGAATCATCTTGGGCTCTAAGAAAGGAAGATGAGGGACAGGCAGATTAGTGGAAGAAGTTTGTGATATTTGAGGCACTATTGCCTGATGATTTCCCTTTTCTCCTAGAAGGTGGAACAAAAGAGGGTGAGGATGACTTGGGTCAAATCCTGCTGCTGCTACCTTTTGTTCTACAGATACTGAGAAAAACCAGGAAGAGACAGCAGCAGAGAGTCCTGATGACCATAGCTCAGAAGAGATACCCAGATAAGTTTAAGGCAGAGAGGAGGAATTTGGGGTCAGGGGCCTGGCAAACCTAGTAGGTGTAGCTCAGGAGGATTGATCCTTGCAGGAGCTGACCCTTCCCCTTGGTGCAGTGTGGGCAGAGTCTTAGAGAAGAGCCCCGATCTCATGAGGACAATCAGTCACACTCCCATAAGTCTATAGTTGCCCAAAGCAGACAAGGACGAGAGGAGACAGCGTATCACTCCCAGCACAGCAAACTCTGTGCCCCAGAATAGTTCTCTGCTCTAAAGTCCCACAGGGCTGTGCCATGGGCTCAGATGGATGTACCCACCCACTGGGCCAGCATCCTTGAAACTGAGGAACTCAAGGTCGAGGGCTCAGCATATTTTGAGCAAGCAGCAAACATTTTGGCAAATAGTAAATAAGCTAGATCCCTTTCCCCTGGCAAGTAGTTACACAGGAATCTCATTGAGCTGCCTTCCCTTTCCCTGTCCAGCTGCCTGAAGGGCCAGCTGCTATCTATTTATTACCTAGGAGCAGCCACAGAAGTTATGACTGCCTAAGGTTTCATCCAGTGGCAGGAGAAGAACTAGCTTGCAGTACAGATTTAAAGGGATAGTGAAAGATAAAAATAAAGCTGGATTATCATTTTGTTCTGTAGTCATGTATGGTCAGGATATGGGAGGGTGTTTTAGTCAAATTTTTTGTTGCTGAGACACAATACCCAAACCCATAATTTAAGAAGAGGTTTAATTTGGCTTATGGTCTCAGAGGATTCAGTCCATGGTCAGCTGGCTCCAAGGCAGAAACGTCACTAAGAAGAGTGTGGCAGAGCAAATCTGCTCAGTTCATGGCAACTGAAAAGCAGAGCAGGAAAACAGTGCCAGAGAGGAGGGGGCGAGGGACCAGACATAGGCCCCAAGGCCACCTCTATGACCCATCCAGATATACCCAGAAATGTTCTCCAACAATCCCCCAAGTAGATACCAAAGCCAATCAAGTTGACACTCTACCCTAACTCCACACAGAGACAGTCTCATTTGTTAACTGATGTGACTCCCTGTCATGGATCATCAGATAGAGGGCTGGTATGGTTTGAATATGCCCCCCCAACCACATCCTAGAAGCTTAATCTCTGACATAACAGTGACCAGAGGTGGGGCCTAAAGGGAGGTGTTTAGGTCGTGAGGGCTCCACCCTCAAGGATGGATTGGTGTGAATTACAGAAGGACTTGAGGCTGCAAGTTTGACTGTCTCTCTGTCTCTATCTCTCTCTCCTTCCCCCCTCCTGCTTTCTTCTATGGGATTGCAAAGCAAGAAGGTCCTCACTAAAGGCCAGCCCTCTATGTTAGACTTCTCAGCCTACAGAACCATGGTAAATAAGTTTCTTCTCATTATAAAGTGTTCAGTCTCAAATATTCTGTTATGGCAGCTCATGAAGGCTCCATACAACACCTGTGCCTGGGACCAGAGAGCACTGTGCACCTGCCACCTGAAGAGCAAGAGGCCACATAGAGCCAGAGACAGATGGAGATTGGAGGAAGGAGCAACACTTTCTCCCCACTACTGCCTCAGCAGTGCATCTGTGCATCCCTCCCCAACCAAGTGTAGCTTGGGGACAAGAGGGGACAAGGAGAAAATAATCCTGAATAGGACTGAGTTCTCAATGTGAACAGGCTGAGAAGCCATAGGATTTGACTTTGTTCATTCAAATGGGACTAGATTAGAACTTTGTCAAGTAGAATGGGAATTCAGCAATAGAAATTAAGTTTTTCTGGAAAAGGAAAGTCATTTGAGGAGTACATACATGATTTTGAAACCTCATATTCACTACAAATCTAAGGCAGATGCTCCAGTGCTACAGGTGATGTATATCCTCTTGTCTTCCTTTTCCTGTCCCAGAAGGAACTGCAATCCCACATTGTGTTGATTGTTCTTTTGCTCTTTTTAAAAATTAAGCTTTAATTTTGAGATAATTGTAGCACTTGTAAGAAATGACACAGGGATCTCCTGTGTACCATTACCCAGTATCCTCCAACAGTAACATCTTGCAAATACCCACAAATTGCAGCAAAGATACTGACAATGATACAGGCAAAATACAGAATGTCCTATTTAAAAAGAAGATATCATGGTGCTGACCACTGGAATGCAATGGGTCCTGAGTATTAGGAAGAGGAGACTTTAGGAACAGAAATCCACCAGATTGAACATGTGGAAATGAGACCTCTCACCAGAGCTGAAGGCAGAGGCAGAAGAGCCCATCCAGCCAGGGAGCAGGGCAAGAAGCAACTCTTTCTTTTGAGACAGGGCCTCACTATGCAGCCTAGGCTGGCCTTGAACTTGTGATCCTCCTGCCTCAGTCTCCCAAGAAGGTCGGATTACAAGTGTGGGCTATTATGCCTGGCTCAGAAGTAATTCTTTGTTTTCCTGTTCAGAATGCAAAATTTCCGGATGTCACTCTATGCAGAGACTCTCAGGACTGTGCAGCAGTTAAAGTTGGTGGCAACTTTCAGAGCAGTGAGCCAAGCTGAAGGGACTAGCAGGAGACAGCCTCCACAAGAAAAGTCTATTACATTGGATGCTCGGAGGTACAACTGAGGCAGGAGGAGCTCATCAGGCCCAGCTGACAAAATTCAGTCTCAACCATCTCCAAAGACATGGGCTTTCTTTATCTCCACTCATTCTTTCCTGATCTGCACTGGCCCCACATCCATGCCACATTCATCTTTGGCCTCTATCGATGCACTGACTGCCTGGTAGACTGACATACAAAGTTCAGAATGGTAATAATGAAAAAGCAACACAAGAATTATTCAATTCTGCCTCCTCACTTTAAAGATGAATAAATGGACATAAAACTATTATAAGCCATGTCAGGATGAGAATTCAAGTTGCTCCACTTCCCAGTGCCCTGTTCATCATTCTAAATAAAAATCCATACAAGGCATTTTACAAAATTTCTTACTAGAAATGACAGCCAAAGAAGAGCACCAATCAAAGAGACATGCCTAAAGGGTTCTGTTCTGCCCCGTCCAGAATTTTCTGCAGACTTTCTAGCCATGAAAGGTTAAAAATGTCAGTTGAAGACAAAAAGACAGAATAACATGAACATATTTTTGAATCACTGGATATTTCCCTATAGGATCACTTTTTATGAGAGGTTAAGAAGCTAATGGTTGGGCCTGGGATATAGCTCAGTGGCACCATGCCTGCCTTGCAAGTGCATAGTCCTGAGTTCGATTCCTGATACAAAAGAAATCTAATGGTTAAGAGCAGAGGCTCTAGAGCCAGACTACCTAGACTCAAATCCTGGCTCCCTGTTTTACCTGCCGTAGGACTTGGCCAAATTAACCTCTGCGCTTTGGTTACCCCATCTGTAAAATGAGAATAACAGCACCTACTTAATAGATTGTTATGAGGATTAAATGAAAGCTTAACATGTATGTATTTCTTAGAAAAGTGCCTGGCACAGAGATAAACTCTAGCAGAGTTATCTATTATTAATGGATAGCAAGGCATTCTGTCCCTTGGACGCGCCATAATTTACTTAGTCAATCCTTTGTGATTGTATATTCGGTGGCCTTAAGGGTTTTCTTTGACGTTATCCAAAGGAGGGTACATTCTCAGTAATCTATTGGAAATAAATGTGCACATTCTGCCAGTAACCTGTATGAGTTACAGTGGACAGGTAGCGCCATCTGGTGGCAAAGTCAGATAAGAAATGTAGAGTTTAATCGGACGGCTTTGCACCCTAACATTGAGCAGGGAGTTCTATTACTAAAGGAAGAGGACCAGGCTTCCTGGAGGACAATTAATACACTGCCATAGTTACCATGTGCCAGATTCACATAGGATTTTTAACATCCATCTTCCCCCTAAATGATAACTCCATGTAAGTTGGAATAACAATATAATCACAAGATTTACCTTTATGTAGTCATACTTTAGTGGATGGGTATGTTTTGAAAAAGATGTATTTTTTCTTATTCCTTAATTTTCAAACTCTCTTTGTCAACTGATCTTAGATACATGTTTTTTTTTTTTTTTTGCAACCACACATAGATTTAGTTTTTTTAAATTCAACTCACTATTGAACTACCTATGCCTTTTGATGTGGGAATTCAACTTGTTTATATTATTTGTAATGACTTTTACTATTGTTTTCTTTCCATTTTTACTTGTTTAGGTTACTGTACTTTGCATTTCTTTTCCACTTTTTTTTTTTTTTGCTTTTTTGTACACAGGTCAGTGTTCACTTTATTATTTTTAAAAATTTAGGAGAAATTTTACTAGGCCAAACTGATTCAATTAAATGCAGCTGTATCAATGGCTTAAATTTTTCATTCTTTTACAAAAGGTCCAGATTGCATTTTCTTTTTTCTTTTTCTTTTTGGTACTGGGGATTGAACTCAGGTCCTTGCACTTACAAGGCAAGTGGCAGAACCACTGAACTAAATCCCTGTCCCTAGGAAGAAATTTTCAATTATTTTTTCTGTAATATTTGGTATCACGTCTGAAATGACTTCTAATTAAACAGTATTTCCACCAGAACATTTTATTCATATTCCTTAAAATTATATATTTCCCTCAGCAATTTTGAACACTTGTTGAAAGCATTCACATTTAATGCATTCCATATTTTCACTCCTATAGTAATTCTCTAGCTCCTGTTAGTTACAGCCTTTAGTGAAGACTTTGCTACTTGTGTAAACATTCAGGTTTCTCTGATTGCTGGTGTTCACTGAGTTTGGCTTGTTGGTACTGGCTTCTGCATGTGGGCAGTGTTGATGGGAGTTTTCTTCTTGTGTGTTTTTCGTTGATGTTTGGTGAGAGCTGACCTCTGGCTGAAGGTTTTTTTACATTCATTACATTCATAGGGTTTTTCTCCTGTGTGAATTCGCTGATGTTTTGTGAGGGCTGACTTTTCATAGAAGGTTTTCCCACACTCAGGACATTTGTAGGGTTTTTCTCCGGTATGAGTCCTCTGATGCACTACAAGGTTGGATTTCACACAGAAAGATCTCCAGCATTCGCTACATTTATAGGGTTTCTCTCCTGTGTGGGTCCTTTGATGTTGAGTGAGGTTGGATTTCACACAGAAGGTTTTCCCACATTCGTTGCATTTATATGGTTTCTCTCCTGTGTGAGTTCTCTGATGTACTGTGAGGGCTGATTTCTGGCAGAAGGACTTCCCACATTCATTACACTCATATGGCTTTTCTCCTGTGTGAGTTCTCTGATGTTCTGTGAGGTTGGACTTCACAAAGAAGGATTTCTCACATTCATTGCACTGATAGCGCTTCTTCCCTGTGTGTGCGCTCTGAGGCTGCATGAGGTCTGTTTTCTTGCAGAAGCATTCTCCGCATTTACGACAGTCATAGGCTTTCCCTCCTTTGTGGGTACTCTGGTTTTCACTGAAGTGTGACTTCTTACTTAAGACCTTCCCACTTCCCTCACCCTCATTGTGATTTTTCCCCGAGTTTGTCCTCTGTTGCTGAGTACACTTTGAGTTCTTGAGAAAGGATTTCTCACATTTATTCCTTTTACAGTTTTTCTCTCTTGTGTTCATTCTTTGACTGGCCCTTTCCCTTTCATCATCCTTCCTAGGTTCTTCTGTTGTGAGAGTTCTCTGATGTTGAGTGAGACATGACTTTTTATGAAAGGATTTCTCCAATTGTTTACAGTCAGAGATCTTCTCTCCTGCATAAGTTCTCTCAGATTCAGTGTGGTACAACTTCTTTAAGGATTTGTCATTTTTACTACACTTACCAGATTTTTCTCCTGGGAAAATTCTCTGACGTTGGGTAAGGTTTGATCTCTTCTTCAAGATTTTCCCGAATGTGTTACCTTCACAGTGTTTCTCCCCTATGTAAACATTTTGATGGACTTGTTTTGACTTCCCAAGTGAGGTTTTCCCACTTTTATTGGACTCCTGGGGCTTCCCTTCTCCAAGGGATCTTGGACAAGAAGTGAGCTTTAACTTTCTGATGAAGGCTCGTCTATGTTCATTGCCTTCAGAGGCTTTCTCTCTTGAGAGAGCTCTCTCATGTGTAACAAAGACTATCTTCCTGTGAAAGGCCTTCCCACAATTATTATATTCAAGAAGTGCTCCCAAAGATGAATTCTTTTGATATTGAATGAAGTCCTCATTAGGATGGTGGGATTTCTTTTTTTCATCATTTTCACATGCTTTACTCCTTGTATGAATGTTTTCATGTTTAGAGTCAAGAGATTCACATCCATTGAAACTGTCAGACATTTTCCTTACATGATTTCTATTACTAGTAATTAATTCTGAAACACTTTTTAAGCTTGTTCCAAATGAGTCACATTTATGGGATCTTTTTCTTGAGGGTGCTGGTTCTATGGCCAAATCAACCATTTCTCTTAAGGTTTTACTTCTGTCCTTATTCACTGTTTTATTTTTGATGAATAGAGCTTGTATCAAATATTTGTCTTCATTTTCTTGACTTTCTTTTGTGTTACTGGCTCTCTGGGCTTCTAGAAAAATAAAATTTTACCAAAAGGAAAGGGTTATATACAAGTCTCCATGCTGAGTTGATTCTGGGGTTTCAGGCACAATCTCCTGGGATTACAGGAGTCCTAAGCAAGTATTTCTTTTTAGTCTTTTGTTTGAGGAACATGAAAACAAAGAAAAAAAACATACTATAGTACAAATAGGGAGAGAAAGCTGAAAATGAACATAAGTAGCTTTGGCTTGTTACAAACATAACCTCAAAGTAGGGAGGGAGCTCAAAATATAGCAAAAGAATGATGACTAGGGAAAAAAGAAGGTCAGGAAAATGATTGGTCCAAGGATAGAGGACATTAAAAGAATGAGGTAAAGATGAGGAGCAATGAGGAGCAAAACAAAGAGGACTGAAAGGTGCTTAAGGGAAGAGTCAGAGCAAGGACTAGATTTGGAGGCAGATCAGAGTCTAAATCCTTATCTCTCTCTTCCCCAGATCTTAACTAGTAGAATCCTTTCTCTCTTCTACATGGTTCCAATCTTTCTCCTCTTTTCCATTCTGCACACCAAGTGATTATAAAATCACTTATTTCCTCAGGTCTAAAGTCCTATCATTCAGACTCCATGTCCCCATACAGCTCTGGTGTGGGAAAACAGTGTCCAATGTGAACATTAAATATAGAAGCTACACTTGCAGTAGGATTAACTTCACTTCATATTTTGACTCTTGGTACTATCAATTGATTCTAGCAGAGTTAATTAATAGTAATCTGCCCTGAAGACAATCTTAATTTCCACTCTTTTATCTACAAATTTACTTAACCAAGTGGTTGTACTGTTTCCATACTGACTTTTAAAGATAGATTTTATTTTTTATTTTTTTAAAGCAGTTTTAGGTTAATGGTAAAATGAAGTGGAAAGTACAGGGTCCCTATGTATCCCTATATATGCATCTCCCCAACTATCAACATGTTCCATAAGAGTAGCATGTACATTTTCTTACAATCAAATTTATATTAGCACATTATCATCACCCGAAGTTTATGGCTCACATTTGGGATCATTCTTAAGTTATACATTCTATGGGTTTAGACAAATGTATAATGACTAGCATCCACCATGACAGGATCACACTGAATAGTGTCCTTGTCCTACAAATGCTCTTTGTTCTGTTTATTTATCCTTCTCTCCCTACCCCCAGCTCTTAGTAATCACTGATCTTTTTATTATAGTTTTGCCTGTTATATAGTTGAAACTATACAGTAATATAGCCTTTCCAGACTAGCTCTTTCCCTTAGCAATATACATTTCAGGTTTTTCCATGTCATTTTATGGCTTGATAGCTCATGCCTTTCTAGTGCTGAACATTTCCACTGTCTGAATGTACCATGTTTATTTATTTATCCATTCATCTACTTAAGGATATCTTGGTTGTTTACAAGTTTTGGCAGTTATGAATATATACATATATATGTATATTTATATATATCTGTGAGAAAGTTTCATGTGGGCATAATTTTTCAAGCCCTAATTCTAATGCTGTTTTTATATTATGTTTTATTCTTTTCTTGCTTCTCTCTTTCCTGTGATAATTCAAGCACCAGGCTACTCAGTGTGGCCTGAGGACCTTTAATTACCTTTATCTACCTTTCTCTTTATTTGTTGTAAATAATTTTGAGTATTGGTGGTTTTTTTCAGTGCTGGGGGTCAAACTCATGTCCTTGCAAGTGCTAGGCAAGCAGTGTACCACAGAACCACATTTCTAGCCCTATGGATAATTATTGTTCTCTTCTGTTATATTTTATGTAATAACATTGACTGTATGCTTTAAAATATATGATAATACAAAAGTCAATGCCTATGCTAACAAAGAGAATGTGACATTAAATTTTTGTGCTTAGATTTTATACTAGATTGTTATACCTAAAATCACAACACACATTCAAATAATCACCCCACAAATCTATGGTATTGTGAATTCCTATCAGGTATGGGTATCAATTAATTCCATAAATTGTTCCTTTCTATCATAAACCTACCCTTCATGTTTTTCACTTATTTAGTTCATATTGTGCCCTCAGCCCTTCTCAGAACCACTGTTCTATGGTTTAAAATATTTTCACCACTTAAAGTCCCACTTGTAGCAAAATTCGGAAGTAAATACTGTCTATATTCTAACATTATTTTACAGTGCACTGGTTTACATGTTTTTCTCTATTTCTTTCATAAACAAGTCTGATTTTCATGGCTTTTGGCAGCTTTTCTACCTTGAATCTTCTTTTTTTCTTTTTATTTTGAGATTTCCTCCAACCTCCAATGAAAATGCGGTTGGCATTTTGTTTTCATTTGTCTTGTGGCTTCTGGACAATTTGCAGGAAAAGAAAGGGCAATACATTTCTGTATCTATACTGGAATCCACTCCTTCTTTCTTCTTTTTTTTTTTGGTTAAATTCTTTTATTGGTACATTTTAGGTATACAACACAATTACATTTCTCATTGGGAATTGTACCTTTACATGATGCATCTTGGTTCTTATTTTTTCCCTATTCCTAGCCCTCCCTTCACCCCCTCCACCCTTCCCTATTTACAAAGACTTTATTTCCATTTTTTCCATTTCTCATCATTTTTCCTTTCCCTTCTTTCCTTTCCCCTGCCCCTCCCACTACCCCTACCCCTTTGGACCTTTTCTTCCTATTTTGCACTATCGATTATTCATTCTAATTGGAAGTGGGAGGGCTAGGGGAAAGGATAGAAGGGAATGGGATTAATATGAGAAAATGGAAAAATAGGAACAAAATCTTTGCAAATAGGGAGGAATGGAGGGGTTGAAGGAAAGGGTGGGCAAGGGTGAAAAATAAGAACCAAGAGAGATTCTGTAAAGGTGCAAATTTCCAACGATGAGTGTCCTTATATCGTATACATTCTTTCCTTCTTAATACTGCTCAGGTGGCTTCTAGGCCACCACTCTCAGGCTCTCCCATGATCCTGGATGGCCAGTCCCTCTCATTCTTCCTTGCTAGTCCCCTGTGTCTTCCTGGCCTCCAAATTCAGCACTTAAAGGTGCCATCCTTGACCTATTCTCTTGCCTATTATCTCACTCAGTGAAACTGAAATTCTTCACCACACCTACACATCTTTTCTCCCCATAAACTCTGACATTATCTGCTTTTTCCTCCTCAACTTCCTTTGGTCCTACTGACTTCATTGCTGTTGTCTCATTACCAAGCACACTCTTGTCTCAGAGGCTTGGCACCTGCTGTTCCCCTGGTCCGAGAATCTTTCCAATAACCCATGGCTCACTCCATCCCTTCATTCAGAACACCATCCCAGTGTTCCTGCTCAATGTTTACCTCCTCAAGGAGACCATCCCAACCTCCCTTCTTAAATACTTGTCTCCTGCCTTTTATCTGATTTTAAGTTTTCACAGTACTGGCTACTACCTGTTCTATTATGCATTTATTTGCTAGTTGGACCTCTGATGGGAGTAGAAATTTTGCTTCTGTATTCCCCATGCTTAGGATATGACTGGTACACAGCAAGAGCTTAACAAATATTTATTGAATAAAAGAAATGCCTGTTTATGAAGCTTTTGATACTGGAGGAAAGATGGGCAATGGCCATTGTTGAACACAGAGAAAAACAGAATCAAAGGTATAGGATGGAGAAGGCAGTCATTGAATTCTATAAAAATCAAGTGAATCTCTCTCTAGAAGTCAAACAGAAAACAAAGAACATTTGCACATGACAGTGACATTGGGAGGTGTGATATCTAAGGTATGTGATTATCTCTTTACTCACTTCTGAAAGTGTAGAGCCTCTGACAGAGATTTATAAAACATATTTCAAAGACATTAAACTTTGAACTGGCCATCTGGGACCTATTTCTCTCAGTTTCTATTTGACCTCAACTCACCCCAGTGGCTGTAACTTGGCAGGTCCCTCTTTAGGATCCATGGTTCTTCTCCTTGCTCCAACCTGCGTATCAGCTCAGGTTTTGTGACACACAGGCCTGTGATGAAAAGGACAGAAGACTTGGCAAAAGCATTTAGGGTTTGGACTCTCTGAAGGACAAAAAGGGAGAATCATATAATGATAGTGCCCAACTATGTTCCACCAAAGCCAGTGGCCAAGTCCCTTCCCTAGGCATGAGGACTTCTGGTCAACCTGGTTAATGTTTGGGTGAGTGGCTAAGTCCTCTGCCTGGGGGAATGGGCATTGGTGAAAGATTCTTTCATTAAGGAAGTGAGAATACAATATTCTATCAAGTGCACTAAAGGAGTCTTAGAACCAAAAATCTCAAGCATAAGACATATTATTCTCTGCAATACTCTGCCGCTCAAGATAGGAAATGCAGGGCCAGGGATTTAGCTTAGTGGTTCCAGCACCTGCCTCGAAAGCACAAGGTCCTGAGTTCAATCCCTGGTACCAAAAAACAAAACAAAACAAAAAGAGAGAGATAGGAAATGCACGCAGCCAGAACTGCGTGGGCAGCTGGGCTTACCCAGTGCTTCCAGGTGCCCGTAGTTCTCCAGCATCATGTCCCTGTATAGGTGCCTTTGGCTGGGGTCCAGCAGCTGCCACTCCTTCTGGGTGAAGGCCACAGACACATCCTCAAATGACACCGACCCCTGCAACAGTCCGATCCTGCTCAATCGGAAGTGCTCCAGACAAAGGTCATGGGAAATACATAAAGAAACTAAGTCCCACCATGTTCTCTGTTAAGAGTTTACCAGTGTTACAGAGGCTGTCTAATGCTACCTTCCTCCATGTTATCCTTTGTGAGAGAAACAGAAATCACAATGGAAACAATAGGCCTCTATGCCTATTTACAAATTCATTGATTAATTCATAAAAATTTGAGTTTCCTTGTGGATTTGTTCTGGCTGCAGAAGACACAAAGGCAAATAAGACATTGGTCCTATTTTTAGGGGTGAAGCCCGGTGAAGATACTTTCTATATACTCATACATGTGCAACAGTGAATTAAGGGAGCCATGAAAAAATGTGTGGTAAACACAGAGTGAAGTCACAAAGAGGGAGTGTATTAGCTTTCTTGTCACTGAGACACAATAACTGACACCCACAACTTAAAGAAGGAGAGGTTTAATTTGGCTCATGGTTCAGGGGTTTAATACATGGTCAGTTGGCTTCAAGACAGAAACATAGTGGAAGGGCAGGGCAGAGGAAAGCTGCTCAACACATGGCAGCCAGGAAGCAGAGAGAGGAGGGAAGACCCAGGGACATGAATACACCCTTCCGGGTCACATCCCCAGTGACCCACCTCCAACCAGGCCCCACCTTCTAATAGAACATTCAGCCATGAACTCATGATAAGATTAATCTACAGCTGAGTAGAGTGCTCCCACAATCCAATCACCTCCCAAAAGCCCCACCTCTGAACACAGGAGACTTTTGGAGGGCATTTTATTTATTTATTTTTTTGGTACTAGGAATCAAACTTGGGTCCTTGCACTTGCAAGGCAGGTGGAGGAACCACTGAGGTAAATCCCCAGCCCCTTGGAGGGCATTTTAAACCTCAACCATTGAGGAAGGGAAGCAAATACTCCCTTTTTTCAGATCATATTTGATCAAGAGTTAAACATTTGATTGCACATGAACAGTGAGTTTGATATGGCCATGGGGCAACAGCATAAAAAAAGGCATGGACAACTTTAAAGTAATACCTTACCTTAAAGCAGTTACAAAGGGTGTGGTGTGAGAGAAGAGGGAGGTTGGGGATTGGATGAGATAAAGAACAATGAAGTATTCAGTGGTCAGAGTGTCATTTGGACCTTCCCCTATAGACCAGTGACCTCTACAGTATTTATTCATCCATTAGGAAATCTTCCTTAGCATCTTTCATTGTATTTATAAATTATATATGTAGCCAACTCTGAAGACATTCACCAAAATGACAGCTTAACAACTTTCTTAAATTTTTTTAAAATAAAAAAATACATAATACATGTAGTGGCTATTCTAACACCATGCACCCACTGATTGTCCTATGAACTGCCCTGGGAAGCACACTCCTTCTTAGGAGATCACTTCTATAAACAATGGGGACAAAGGGATAAATAACATGATTAGACTTATATTTTGGAAGTCATGCTCTAGAAGCAGATTGGAGAATGTTTTAGAGAACTGATTCTTAACCAGAGGTTATTTTGCCTCGCCAAGGGTATTTGGCAATATTGGAGACATTTTCAGTTATCACAACTGAGGAAGGCAGAGTTGCTACTGGCATCTACTGAGTAGAGGCCAGAGATGCTGCTAAACGTCCTGCACTGTTCAGGTCACCTCCACAACAAAGAATTACCTGGACCAAGATGTCAGTGGCTAAGGTAGGAAACTTTTAAAAAGCAGTGAGAGAGGATGATAATAGACTGGTGTGAGGGATGACCACTTCCCTTCATGTAGTAATAGTGGGAATTGAGAAGCTGGAACTAAAACTAACTCTACGTGGAACTATCCAGCAGTTGATTACACAGTGAAGGAAAATGGAGCATTACTCTCAGGTTATCCACAGAGCAGCAGGCTTAATGCTGGTGCCACATTCTATACTGAGATGGATAAAACATGTAAAATAATGCATGGAGGAGGGAAGGAAAGAGACTGACTCTTGGGCATATTGTACTTAAGGCATCTGTGAAATGAGTGGAGATGTCCAGGTAACAGCTGGATATAAGTTCTTAGATCTCAGTAGAGGCCTAGGATAAAGAGGATAAAGATACATACATTTTTGGAATCAGGTATATCTCAGTGGTAGCTGAAGCCATGAGAGAGGGAACTTGCTCACAAAGAGCATGGCTATTGAATGTACAGGGCCCAGGGGGTGACAGAGGAAGAGGAGCAGGCCCTGAAGGCCTAGAAGAAAGCAAACTCGGAGCTAGCAAGCACCAAGCGCAGTCCCAGCCCACAGTGGAGCTCAATAGGCAGCTGGTATGTGAGTGATGCAGGACTCAAAAGCAACAAGTTAAAGAGTAAGGGACACTCCAGATCAACACAATGAGCTGGGCACATTATATATGTTTATTTCCTCTAGAGAAACATGAAAACACTATGTTTTTCTCAGCAGGGGAGTACCGGGAAGGCCATCAGCAAGTGAGCAATTTCCAGGAGTTTCTGGAAGATGTAGAGCAGCAGGAAGATACCAGAGGCTCTGTGTGCGCCTCTTCACTTGAACATAGAAGGTGCACAAGGCTTGGGTCTCCCTTCAGAGCCCACCAGAGCTCCCAGCTCAGCAGCTGGAGGCTGGGAGGTGAACGGGGGCATGATCAGCAGAAGGGCTGCCAGACTCCTTGGTGGATCCTTACTCCTAAGGGTAATGCTCAGGAGAATGCTCCTTATATAAGCAGGAAACTACCCTCAGGAGTCTGTGAGAACTTTGTAACAAGAGAGAGAAACTAAGTACTGTGCCCAGTACCCTTCCTTGTATGGGCACAGCTTTGCTTTTAGAGCTGTTCTAGGGAAACAGGTTAGTGTGCTCTGTCATTAGGTAAACTAAAGCTCTCTGGTAGGGGAGGGGTCCCCCGGAGTTTTCCTCCCTGCTCCGGCCTAAAGGGAATCTCTATAGACATCTCCTGACTTTTTTTGTTTGGTAGTACTAGGGATTGAACTCAGGACCTTCACACTGAGCTACATACCCAGCTCTTTTTTATTTTTTATTTTGAGACAGGATCTTGCTAAGTCACTAACTTGCCCAGGCTGGGCTCAAACTCATGATCCTCCTGCCTCAGCCTCCCAGAGTGCTGAGATTACAGTGCCCAAGGAAGGACCCAAGTCTGTCTTTTCACTCAAGGGGACACACTGCTCCACACTGCTGATCATGTAAGCACACATTAGCCACCTACGCTGAACGCTGGGTGATGTCCCTCTTTTTCCTTGTTCACTTGGAAAACAATAAGGGAGTCTGGACACTGGAGGGAAACCCCAGCCTGAGAAGTAAGCATCAAGAAGAAACTGAAGACTGCTGAATAAGTTTATTGTAAATAAAAACAACCTAGAAGAGAAGCACACAAGAATAATATTCAAACATTTCAAACAGTGTCTCCAAGTCACAGTGTAAGAGTCTTACTTCCATAAATGAGGAAAGCCTGCTGTGAGTAAAGACAAAGCATACAGATATTAAATATTTTGTTACTGATTTAGAGAAACAGAAAACAAAACCAGCTGGAGAAATCCTGGAAACAAGATGAGCAAATCTCTCAGAGCACAGGACAAAACCACACAAAAGTAGACACGAAAGCCAGGGAACGTAGAAAGAGTACCGAGGAGAGTCTCCAATAGGGTTTCTGGGTGGTGAGGATAAAGAGGAAGGTGAGCAAGAAATAAACACAGAAATAATTAAAAACATCTCTGAGCATGTGAGTCTTCATCTTATTAGGACACATTCCATTTCTAAGCGGGATAGTGAAAAAAAGAATAAGCAGACACTGCATGGTGAAATCTCTGACATCCACGGAAGAAGGAGGAGGAAGTGGAGAAGAAGAAAAAAAGAGGAAGGAGAAGAGGAAAAACAGGTTATCTACAAAGGCATGAGAGCCAAACTGCCATGCCACTTCTTGGTCTCCTCAAATGCTAGGAGATATTGCAAATTGTCTCTTCTCATACTATTCCGAGGAGAAGGATTTCGATACGATCACTCATTCACAGGACAAAGCAGGATGAAGGTGGTTTCAGACATGCAGACTCAGGGCGGACAAGGCACTGTCAATCTGTGCAGTGCTACACAGGCCCCTATCTAAACTCAGCAGAACCCCAGGGAGAAAACATGGCAAATGACGATTATGGTGAACAGACCACAGGGCTGCTGTTTACAGGGTATACTGGTAAAGTGTTTGCATTTTCAAACAAAACCTCCATGTAGGCACCAAGCCTGAGAAGTGCTGAAACTCCAGAAGGAGAGCTGCTGCAGTGGCTTGACGGGGAAGCTGAAGCAGGCCCTTCCAACTCAACACCCAACATCTGGAATGAGGCCATAAAATCAGCCATGAAAACAAAGAACATCTGCTCCTCCAGATGACTTGGGACTGCCAGCCTTCATGGTCAAGAGAGACACTGCAAACCCTTTTTCCACCTAAGCGAGGTCGCCACAGTTAGTAATAAAAATACAAGCACCCACTTTCACTTGAATTTCAGATAGAAAACAAATAAGTTATTGTCAGGCCTGACTTCAGTGGATCCTTCACAAACAAACAAGAAAAAGCAAACAGGCTGCTCTCGGCAAACAACAGCAGCTTCCTAGTAAATACAGCAAATGAACTCAAATATAGTATACAACCCCTCTGGCGCTGAGAAGTCCAGGAATTGTGTACCCACTTGAGCAGACCGTCCCTGGCCATCCAAGTCATAAATATTTCACTCCAGATTCCTTAGCCCCTTCCATACCTATGTAAGCCTAATTCCTTTCCCAGTTATTTGCTAACATCTCTCTCTCTCCTGGTGTTAGCCCATCCTCTCATGGATGAATCTCTCCCAGCTAGCTGCCACTGTCTCTCTCCCATTGACAGCCCATCCACACATGGATGTGATAAACTCAGCTTTTCTCAGCAAGTCTCTAAAATCTGATTTCTAGTCCCTGGTCACTGAAATAAACTTTTCTTTTTCTAACAACAAAGAGCCTGTTTTTTTTGACAAGTGGATTCTTTGGAACAGTTATTAGTATAAGCATGTCCCATGCTTTGTTTTATGTGTCCTGTGTCTTATCTGGCAATCAGTTCTTAAGAGTTCCCCTTCCAAGTTCTTGGTGAGGTTGGAACATGAACAGATGAAAATGTGTTCTCAAAAATGGGTGGAAAACTTGTAGCGAACTTGAACTTGATGAGGTCTCCATCTGGCCAAACCTCTCATGATGTATCCTTTCTATTTCACCTCCAAGCTTTTGAGAATTACTTAAATCTTTGCAGCTCTTAGGAAAAAAAGGGTGTAATAAAAGTACCTACCTACTAATGTTATCAGAATTATATGAGCTAATCCAGGTAGGGAATTTAACAGTGGCTGGAACATAATAATGCAGCTCTCAATTATAGATAATATTATAGCTGACCAATGATTATAATTTTTTTACTCTATCTTCCAACTGGGAATGGCAAAAACGTAACTAGAAAATATATATTCAAATTTGAATGATTATTGTTCAAGTAGCTAGATGTGATGGTTAACAAAGGATAATATTATTTATGATGTATTAAATAAAAAGTAATATATATTACATAAAAAAAAGTGAAAAATATTAAATGGTTTTCACAAAACCTGAGATGTAGGAGGAATGTATCTTGTTTAGGTGATACTTTGGATGAAAAATATCCTGGATATTGACAGAAAAATATGTTATGCATTTTTTAGTGCACCTGGGGAAATAAAATAAAATGTAGACCTTCAAATCCACCGGATGAAGCAAAAAGAAAGTTAAATAATACTGCAGGGGAAGGAAAAGTCAGGAAATTAACAAATGATGAAAAACAACCAACAAGGAAGCATGGTCAACAAAAATGCAAAGTTATTCTTACATTTTGCTGAAAACATAGAGTAAAAGGTAAACAACTCACCTGGGCTATGTTCATTCTCTTCTGCCTCTGGAAAAGTGTAGAGAGCTGTGAAGGCAGAGCAGAGGGATGAAGTGAAGAAATAATGAGAAATACAGGCTACCTGGAAGGTCCTCATAGTGCTTGCAGGAGATCCACACATCCACTGACATACGGTCACAGGGCAGGAGACTGTCACTTGGACCCAATCAGAGGGAGCAGGTAGGGGTGTGCTAGGGGACTCTTACAACCTTCGTGTAGCCACGCAGAGCTCAGGGAAGCAAGCATTTCATTGGGGAAAGTGAATATTACTTTCTCAAAACTTAAAACCTCCTTTGATTTGATGGTAGACAAATACTGTATAAACAACATGAAGTTCAACTGAGAAAGATGTGGCTAAACAAATCACATTACTACAAAGTCCTTCAGTCATTAAACATGCTATATATTGCCTTTTTAAACATCTGGGATTTACTTTAAAATAACCCTGTAAATGAAGGTAGAAAGACAGCAATTATAGGGGTGTGCATGTGTGGTGGGGGCTAAGTAGGTGATTTTCCATATGCTAAGGCTATGACAAGGATTTATCACAATATTTTTAAGGAGTTATTCCAGTATTTTCTTTATATGTTTGAATTTTTCCATAATAGAAGATGTAAAAACTGATATAACAACAAAAACCTTATAAAGACCTGCTCACTTACTTTTTCACATATATTATTAACTCTTGGGGTTAAAGAATATAAAGGAACCACTGACAACAGAGGCAGGTGCACTTTAAATGAAGTCTTTCTTTTAATTTTTTTAAGGGTTGTGTCCTCCTGGTTTTAGGGTTTCCAAAGGATTTTTGTTGTTGAAAGAGTTACCCGAGACATAGTGGACAATGCCTGAGAGTCATGGGGCCTCAGTGATCTTTAGTTTGACCCCAAATGGATAATGCAAACCCAGATTGTAATATTAGGTACCCACAATACTTATATAGTGCGAGGTATATAGCAGGCATTGTTCTAATTACTTTACATGTATCACTTCATTTAACCCCTGAAATAAGGCAAAGGTCCTATTGTTACTCTCATTTCACAGATGAGGCCATAGAGAGGAAGAACGGGAATGCCAGGGTTGGGCTTTGAACCAACTCTGCCCATGGGCAGTCTGGCTCCAGAAACCATGCATTTAAGTGCTTTGCTGATGACTCTCTCAGGCGCAGCATTTTCACTTTTCAAGTGAGGCAGAATTACCTAAGCCCTAAAAACAGGGGCGGGTAGTGGAAGTCCAGTGTAGGTGAGGGCATGGTTGGAGGGCTCCAAAGAATTTGAGATGAGGGACTAGAGGCCTGAAGGTGTAGGAGGAGCTTCTGGGAGAAGGAGACAGCATCTTGTTGGCCTTCCTTCCGATCGCCCTTCTCCATCCCCTCCTGGGACTGTCTCTTCCCACACAGCCTACCTCTTGCTCACTACCCTCTGCCCAGCTCACCTCCTTCCTTTGGAAATTGGCTCAACCTTTGCTGACTGCCAATGCTGGGAACCCTCTGATGCTATTCAGTGCAGGAGGATTGGGGAGTGCTTCAGGACACCCAAATATAGTCTGGGCTGGTTTCTTAATCCCAGGCCCTGCAGCTGAGGTTCAAGGTGAGGTAGGGATTTCCCCTATGTAGGATTCTTGATTCTGGGTCCCCTCATTCTTTCCTTATAGAAGCCATGTGATCCAAGGAAATTTGAACTTGGCTGGAGGAAATAAATTCAAATAACTGGAAGCTTCAGCTGATTCCCACCTCTTTCACACTTTTACCATCCTCTATTAATGGTGGTTCTCACACTGAGGTCTTCATTCCAGCAGCATCAAGATCACCCAGGAACTAGGTAGAAAGGTACATTTCTGGGTCCCTCTTCAGACCTACTGATCAGGAACTGGGAGGTGGGCGGGCTGCCATCTTTGGGATTTCATAAACCCTCCAGGTGATTCTGATGCATGCTAGTTTAAAAATGGAAGAAATCTGTTTCCTTGTGGACGTTCCTTGTGGCGCTTAGGGATGTGCCCCTGCTGAGGGCTGTGGGCAATGTGCTGCTGGTAAAACCCAGGAGGAGATCTGCAAATCAGAAGGTTGGAGGTTTGCAACCCAACTCCTTCAGGTGCTAGCATCGCGCCCCCCTCCCCCCAGTCTGGGATTTCTTCTCTGTTAAATGGGCTTGGTAACACCGGATTTCAGGGAGTCTTTAGAGCCAAATGAGAGACAATACCTAAAGAACAGAATGGTGAGGAAAGAAGGTAACCTTACCAAATGCAGAGAAAATGCCAGAACCTCTGTCCAGGGCTTTACAGGTGCTCTCCCATGCAGAGCTCAGAATAAGTCTGAGGCAGGTTTTAGCAACAACTTCATTTTACTAGGGGGAAAACTGAGGCTTAGAGGCTTAGAGATTCGTTTTGCCCAAGAGGATTCAGTGGCAAAGCTAGAATTTGAAATCAGCCGTTTATACTGCAGCCCCCCACCCCCTTTAGCCTACAGGAATACAATACAGGTCCTAAGAATTCATTCTCAGCGTCACCCGCCCCCGTCCCCCACACCCCGCAGCCCCGTCGATTCCTTTCTCTAGGGAACGGATGTTGGGCACACGCAAATTCGAGGAGCTTCTGCAAACAACTCTTTTGACATTTGAATGCCTTTTCCCAATGCACTTTATTCTGATGTAGAAATCCCCCACCCCGCATTTATCCTTAGAGAAAGGAGACTGCAGATCCGCAGCGAACATTCTCTCTCAGTAGACGGGCAAACGGAGAGCAGACTGGGGAACAAGTGTTTCAGGGTCTCAATCCCGTGGGACACACTCAAGTTTTTGCGTCTACCAGCGGTGGACACAAACCTGCCCCAAACTCGAGAAAGCAACCCCCCCCCACCACCACCACCAGGTTCTCACCTATAGTGCACACCACACCCTTCCTTCAGGGCCCGGTCATTGAGCGACGCTAAGAACCAAAGGCAACAAGATTGCTTGCCTGGCTGGAGAAAAGAGCGGCGGTCGAACAATGAGGAAGAACTGCACATGCGCAGAAGGAGCTATGAGGGGCCAGTTCCGCGGCCCTCTCCCGGGATAATCAAATTCCAGCGTCTGTTTTCCACAAGTCTTTGTGTCCCCGCCTCCGGGAATGTCTGAAGAGTTCTTATTTGGCAAGTTGGGTGATTTTACGTTCCAAAATCAGCTGTACTCTTGTTTGTAGCCCTGGTTCCTTACAGTTCACCCATTAGGGATTTGAACTCGGTTTTACCTACAACTACATGCAAAACATAAGAAAGGGAGAAAGAAAAGATGTATGTCAACTGCTCCTATAAAATAAAGCTGGGAGTGATGGTGCACTGAGAAGCTGAGGCAGGGGGATTGCAAGTTCGAGCCCAGCCTGGACAATTTAGCAAGCCCCTGTCTCAAAATTTAAAAATGGGATGAGGAGGTAGGTCAGCCCAAAGGCCCTGGGTTCAATCCCCAGTACCAGAAAACAACAACAACAACAACAACAAAAAACTAAACAAGATAGTAAAACATTAATACTGATGACCAGCAACTTTTCTCTCCCAAATGCAAACAACTACCTCTACTCAAAGGTAGATTTCCCAAGTAATATGCTAAAACTATAGATAAAACAGAAACTACACATAAATCACAAAGGAAGCAGTTCATGATCTCCCCTTCTGGACGTCCCATGGTCAATGTTAGGTGATACTTTCATTGAAAGGCAGCCCTTAAAGCTAAATGTGTTATTTTGGTCTTTCCACTAAACATGTTATTAATAGTTTTATCTGTTTTACCTTGACAAATTTCAAGTTGACAGCAACATTGCAGGAATGATTATTCTGGCTGAACATCTGTAAACTGTTTACTTGCATTCATCAATTGTGACTACTTTGCCACATGCACTCTCTCCTCTTCTTCTTTCCTTTGAGAACAAGTTGCACACATGAACTGATACTCCTAAAACTTTAGCATATATTTCCTAAGAACATGGGGATTTTTTGTCTTATTTTGAGATGTGGTCTCACTGTATTGCCCACACTGGCCTTGAACTCCTGGGACTACAAACTTGTGGCATCCTCCCTGCTCAGTTTTTTAAAAAATAACCACCACACAATTATCAAATCCAAGAAATTGAACACTGATATATTATTATTGTATAATACTGGATGTATTAGTTAGGGTTCTCTAGAGGGGCAAAATCAACAGAAAATATATGTATAATTATGTGAGAGAACTTGTTAGATAAGCATACAGGATCAGAAGCGGGAGGATCCACAATGCTCCTCTGGATGCTGGACAGTCAGAGAATCCAGTAGCCGCTCAGCCCAAGAAGAGGGAAGCCACAGAACAAGAGGGATCAAGGATGCAGCACCAGTCTAAGGCCAAAGGCCTGGAAGCTCATTGAAGAGTTATTGGCACAAGTCTGTATTTCAAGGCTGAAGAAACTGGAGACCAATGTCCAAAAGCAATGGCATCAAAGAAAACCCCTGCTCAAGAAAACTGGAGTTCTTCGAAACTGATGAACTTCCTTCTCCTTTCCCTTTTTATTTCCATCCAGGGTACAAGCCTATGGGTCGGTACCACCCACATGCAAGGTCTTCTACCTCAGTTTGCTGGCCCACATGGCAATCATCCACAGACACACTAGAACTCCACAAAGTGCTCAGGGTTTCTTACTCCTGTCAAGTTGACATAGCACAGTTAGTGGTTGCACTGGACTATGTTCACATTTCACCCATAGTCCTAATAATATCCTTTATAACAGATTTTTTTTTTCTGACTCAGAATTCAATTCAGGATAATTTATTTAGACTCCAATTGATTTATTTAGACTCCTTTAATCTATTTCCTCTACCTTCTTCTGTATTTGATGACATTGGTAATTTCAAAGAAGACCTCAGTTGTTTTGAAGAATGTGCCTTCATTTGAGTTTATCTGATTGTTTTCTCATATTTAGATTCAGGTTGTAGATTTCTTGGCAGGATGCTGCACAAGAGATGCCATATTCTTAGTAAATCACATCTGATCAGTTTCACACATGTGATGTCATTTATTCTACTTTTGGGTAATATTAACTTTGATGATATATGGTCAATATAGTTTTATGTCAGTAGTTTCTCCTATGTCAATGATAATAAGATAATAATAATAAAGTCCACTCAGAGTAGCATTCAGTATCTACAACTAAGTTGACAAGAATTGGGCAGAACTCTCACTGCACAAACTACTCCACTCTACTGTGTGACATCAAAGCTATAGACATAGGGAAACACTGTTTTCTAGATGGAAAGAGTCATTTTTTAAATTTTTATTTTTTTGGTACCAGGGATCGAACTCGGGACCTTCCACTTGCAAAGCAGGCAGCGGAACCACTGAGCTAAATCCCCAGCCCAAGAGTCATTGTTTTTAAACAAAACTTCCAACCAAAACCACAGTAAGTTGAATGATGTGTATTTTTTCCTTTGTTTTTTTTTTTTACTTAATAGAATACATCTAAATTTCATCTGGAAGGGGCCGGGGATTTAGCTCAGCGGTTTCGCCGCCTGCTACTCAAGCACAAGGACCTGAGTTCGATCCCCGGTACCAAAAAATAAAATAAAATAAAATAAAAATAAATTTCATCTGGAAGGACAAAAACCCTAAGAGAGTGGACAGGACATTTTAATTGAAAAATTAATGGTATTTTCTATTAGACATAAAGCTTGCCTCTGCTCCTTAGAAGAACAGGTACATACCCAAGAGTTCATAAGAATTTAGAGTATGGGGCCAGGGATTCAGCTCAGTGGCACCATGCCTGCCTTGTGAGCACAAGGTACTGAGTTCGATGCCCAGTACCAAAAAAAAAAAAAAAAGAAAGAAAGAAAGAAAAGAAAAAGAATTTAGAGTATGATAAGGTGAAATTGCCAAGTAAGAGATGGTCAGAGCAGGAGAGAAAGGTAGTCCAAAAAGTATGTTAAGAACCTAGCAGTGGGGGAGGCAGGATAGGAAGATTATGTCTCCAGTAATGCACAGCATAATACACAAATTTCATATAGACTTGATTGACCATTTTAACAACAAACCATCAATTATGTAGAAAAGAGGAAAATAATTTTCTTATTTAATCTCTGGTAGGGACTAAAGGTGGCAGCCACAGAAGAGAAGAATGCTGTTTTGTTCTAGAAACATTTAAAACCTTACTCTCAGAAAAAAAATCAAGTAAAAATACACTGGGAAAACTCATTTGTTAAGAATATGAAAGAAATGGTTTATTGGCTTCATTTAATTATCTCTCACACATTTATATGGA